CGCGTCGCTCTTTGTGCTTCTACAAAGAAAGAGAGTGTACTTCATACCCTTACATCATTACCCGGTTGCAGTACTTACGAACTATTCCATCTAATCCTTTTGATAAGTCCAGACCCACGTAGTTTGATCTCAAACTGAGGAAGATGATTTATACGGGGACGGAAAATAGTCTATATTTTAAGTAGAGAATTGAGCAGTATTAAGGTATACCCAGCATCGCTTATTTTTTTCTGTTTCGTTGTCGTACCCTGGACTGGTTCTTGGAACTGACTTACCTCTATGACGTATTCGCATAATTCCTATATGATTTTCAAAGTGTACCATGAACGTGACTTGGCGCAATAATTTCCACTCCGTCTGTGGACTAATAGTCCGCACCAAGGCCTGGAATCAAAGCCTTTCTCTTCGCTTTCAAAATGTCACTGGTGTAAATCCAGTGTGAGCCCCGGCTTCCCTCCCATTTATTAACACGACTGATTGGAAGCTTGGCGGGGACTCAAATCCAAGGAAAAGGGGATTGCTAATAACAATCCACAGTTATCTTTTTCCTCAATTCCCCTTTTCCACTCCCCCTCCGCCTAGATTATCTCTTTCCTCCCTCTCCATCTCTCTACCTTTCTCTCTCTCTCTCTCTCTCTCTCTCTCTCTCTCTCTCTCTCTCTCTCTCGGGAAAGTGAGACTTGCGGACAAGTCGTTCACAGTCCAGCAGTTTCAACTGGCACCAACAGACTAGGCAACGGCTACAGTTCTCCTTGGACTTCGCTCAGAAGAAATGACAAGAAAAGAAGCTAAAAGAAAGAAAGAAAAAAAATAGAGAGAAAATGAATGAAAGTGAGAACAAAAAACTGAAATAGAGAGGGTAGATAAGCGCATACAAGGTGTATAAGTACAGAGGTCACAGTCATGAATGTCCCAGTTCAGCTTTTGGATGGCAGGGTAGTGACCCCATGACGTCATGGCATCGACCCTGGCACCAAAACCTCCCACCTAGACGTGTTGTTGTGCGTATATTACACACATGAACAAACACATCAATAAACCCATAACGACGGACCAAAGATTATTTACTCACACTCACAGTTATTGTTCGTTGTTTGTTTGTTTAGTATAGGGTTTTACGGCACTCGCAACTGCATAAGGTCATATGAGCGCGCGGGACACACCTAATACTTTTTCGTTGGTAGAAAATTTTGAATTTTGCCCGGGTGGCGGCCGAAGCCTACTCTTATCGATTTTAGACCACCAAGGGATCTTTAACGTGCGCAACTTGCACACGGG